ACCAGTTCTTGCCTTTGGTTTCGTCCACTTCTTGAGCCGTCTGTACTCTGGTCTCGACCACCAGTTTCTTCAGCGCTTTAATCTGTTGTTTGTTATAGTAATCAATGAGTATTAGTTTCTCTTTCAATACATTCATTGATATCTCCGGCTCTTTAATTGCCATCAATTCGTTAAACTTTGTCTGAAAACTATGCGAATAGTCCTCAAAGTCTTCGCCAAAATAATTGGCCGACTGTTTGGGATCTGTTTTGCAACGCTTTGAATGCATTTCAGTAGTGATTGAATTCACTGTTAAAAACAAAACAAAAAACCATTAAACAAGTGATTCAATCAAATAGTAAACAAAACTTACAATTTTGTGGTGATATCTGATTGTGAATCGGCGGCCGATAATTGGTGTCCGCCTTCTCGGGACTATTCATTGGCACTTTGGGATCAGTTGATTGCAGATCAGTATTATTGTTGACAACCACTGGTTGTGAACTTTGAGAGTGTTGTGACTGTTGTTGTGAGGCATCCGTTGTGTTATCGCACGTTTGGCTGACATCTGGTGCACCAAAACTAATGTCCATTTCTTCGTCAATCAAATCAATTTCTTGGATCACATGATTGACGTCGGGTTTGTCTACTGAAGGGCTGCCGTTGTCTTTGTTTTGGTTTATAGCCATCAGTCGTCCGGAACGACGTTTGTCTTTGGCATCCGACGGCATCTCGACCTCTGGCTTCTCGTCAGTAGTCTTGGAAGGAGTTGTCATTTGAGAGATATTATCGCTTATAATAGCGATATCTCGTGAATCAACCGCTTCTTTGTTAATCCTGTCGACCATCTTATCACTCGATGTCGACGGCGTCTCCAGAATGCTCTTGGGTTTAGGCTTACGACCTCTTCGGCCTTTCCTCACAACCGTTTCAATGGTTTCGTCAAATGACATGTCAGTCGTGTCAGTGATGTCTTCGACGGCTGCAATCGCCGGTGTATTCACTTTTGCCAACAATTCCTCGTGTTTTCGCAACATTTGCATCGATTTGACTAAATTCTTGTTACTCTCGACAGAACTTCTAATGTCGGGATCATTAATACTGTGGATATTCTTCGGTTTGACCTCCATT